AGGAGGATGAGGAGGAGAAGCAGGAAGAGGAGGAGGAGAGGGGGGAGGAAGAGTGCGCATGAGACGGAGAGAACGAGGTAAAGAGGGAACGGGGGAGGAGGGAGGACAAGGAAGAGGATACAGCGACGAGAAGAGGAGAAGGAACAGGCGAAGGCTCCTGCTGATCGCATTTCCGCATCGTTCAAAGCAGTGCCGGGGCACTGCTTTGAACGACTGGCGTTGTTCAAATCAGTTCCCCGGCACTGTGGTCGTCGACGCCATTATAAAGGCTTTCGGATTAGGGCAAGTGTTTGATACCCCTCAGGAAGATTGTGGCCTCCGAGGGGGGAGCCGCAATCGACTACCTCCCCCTCCCGCCTCAAGAGGCTCCCAAGGGCCCCCCAGGAGGCCCCAGCGGTCTCCAAGACGCCGCCAAGGGGCCCCAAGAGGCCCCCAAGAGGCCCCCCAAGAGGCCCCAAAGAGCGCTCCAGGGCTGGTGGAATGAGGGGAGCGAAGCGATTCAATGAGAAAACCCTCACATGCTGATTATGTTTATCGGGTCGGGCGAAAGGGGGGTATAGCAAAGGGGGGGGTTGAGAATCAGCTCACGTAGCTGATTTTCCCGGCGCCTCCCGGCGCCGGAGGCGGCTATGTATCGAGGAATGGGCCCCTCGGAGGGGCCGAAACCAGCTGCATGCAGCAGATTTCGTAACCCCCCCTTTCCCAATCCCCCCCTCTTCGTCTGGCCCGAGAGTCAATGAGAAAACCCTCACTTGCTGCATTATGTTTAGAGCTGGATCGGTCTGCGAGGGTCCCGGGGCCGGAACCCGGGCGAGACCGCCGGGCGCGAAAAGAGCGCGGCGCCCGGAGCCGAGGGCAGCCTGCTCCGAGCCCTGCGTTGCCCGCCCACCGACGGGTGCCTGCTCTTAGATCGGACACGTCCTCCGACAGGCAGATTTGGAAACTAGCACTAATATTAATAATAATAATAATAGTAATAATAATAATAATAATAATGATAACAATAATAATAATAATCATAATAATCATAATAATAATAATAATAATAAATAAAAATAATAAGAATAATAATAATGAGAAGAATGCGAGTAGTACTAATACTACGAGTGTTAATAATAAGTTTGATGGTGATAATAAGAATAAAGATGATAATAAGCATAATCATCATCATAACACTACTAATCATAAAAAAATGGAAATCATAATGATACTAATAACCTTAATGGCAACAACAATAATAACAATAATAATAGCAATAATACTGCTAGTAACAATAAACAATACTAATACTAAAAATAGAAATGCTAAAAATCATAATAGTTTTTTAAAAAGAAAAAATAATAATGATAACTGTTCACAAAAAGATTCAAACATATTCCTATAAAATACTTGGACACGTCCCCAGACTATCTATTTTTCCATACTCCTCCTGCAGAGGGGCATGCCCGTCCACCGATAGGTGCCTGCTCTGTGCTCGGTGGGCGGCGGCGCGGCGCCGGCCGAGCCCAAAATGCGCCGCGGGCGCGGAGCCCGCCCTGCGGCCCGCGCAACCCCTGGGGGAAGGGGTCGGGGCATGTCCTCCTACAGGCGGTTTTTGGAGGAAAGAGTAAAGAAACCAAGAAATGCTCAAAGATAGCAGCAGCAGCAGCAACAACAACAACAATCATTTTTAGACTGTTCGCTCGTATTTGCTCGAGTGTCCTTCAGCGTGAATTTCCCGAACCCTCGATACCCGCCCTCTTCGTCTTCGATCATACCACTTTTGGTGGGTATATATATATATATATCTTCGAGAGCTCTGCGTGATTAGTTAGGAAGTTTCTAGCGAGAGAGCGACTCCTAAGTAAATTTGAAGAAGTCCCCAGCGAACGCGCGATGCCTGAATGGCAAGAGCGCGGCGCCAGAGTAAATTGCATGGAGATCTCAGGCTGGAGCGCGATTCTTGAGCAAATTGCGAGGAAGTCTCAAGCGGGAGCGGGGGACTGGAGTAAATTTGGAGGAAGTATCAAGTGGGAGCCGTTGTTGTTGTTGTAAACCGGGGGCCAGGGGCACAGTTTGAGGACCAGAAGGGGGGATCATCAATATCTGTTCTTCAATACTGAGCTTAACCAAAGAAATAAAACAAATCGTCCCCCGACTATTTCTTGACCGTTTCCCGATTTTCCTCCTGCAAAAAGACAGGCCCGACTGAATCCTGGGGGCAGGGAGCGGGACCTCTGGGGTCACGGGTGGACAGAGACAGCTCGGAGGACGTCAGGGGGCCTCCGCGCGCTGCGGAGAGGCCACGATCGGAAGGCTTCCGGCCGCGCTCGGTCTCCGGGGGCCCCCGCCAGGCCCGGGGGCCTTCGAGAGACGGCTCGGGCTGGAGCGGGTCCACAGGGGAAGCTGTCGAGAGGTCCGGGGACCCAGCACGGCGAAGGCAGGGGATCTCAGGAACCATTGGATAAGAAGTCCCGGGCCTGAAGACCCAGTGAGGCACCCACTGTGGATTGGCCACGGGTATCACAGACGCCCTCGTCGGAAGAGGAGTCCCCTCCAAGGTCGGAAGCCTCCCGAGCAAATTCCTTAGCGAACGCTCCTACCGCGCTGCGTAGGAGGAGGAGGAGGAGGAGGAGGAAGTCTTGGGTCCACAGGTGCCTCCGGGTTGTTCGAAGAAGCGTGGTTGGTGAGGGGTGGGGGGCTGTGTCTCGCGCAGCGTGCGTGGGGTGAATCGCGTGAGGGGGTGGGCTCGATGCCCGTGGGGGGAACTAGAGGGGCCCAAGGGCACACAAATAAATATACACAAATCCCAAGAGTCCCGATATTTTCCCATAGCCCCAAGAAGACTTGGTTAAGAATTGGTGTCTCGGGACCCTACGTTGCCCGTTTCCCAGAGGTTCCTGGAGATTCCCCGGGTTCCCCAGGTTCCCCGGGTTCCCTGGGTTCCCCCGTGCCAAGCAACGCCAAGAAATGCCAAGCAATGCCAAGCAACGCCAAGCAATGCCAAGCAATGCCAAGCAATGCCAGCGATGCCAAGCAATGCCAAGCAATAACAAGCAATGCCATGCACTGCGCCCATGGAATAGGAAGCTTTCCGGGGTCATGCTGCGCCTATGCTATGCACTGCGCTCATGCTCATTGGGGTCGCGCTGGGTTCATTTTCTGGACTTTCATCTTCCCCTCCACTTCACATGTTTTGCAATATTATTCGGGGAACCGGCGTTTATTTGTGCCTGTGTCTTTTTCCCCTACCGAGGACAGGGGGGAGGGGAGAACGGACCGTCAAGGGCGGTGCGGGGGGCGGGGGGTGGAGGGGCGGGGGGCGGGTGTTTACCAACTGAGTACGCATTGGGGCAGACTTTGGGGGGTGGAGGGGGGGGGGTCGGTAGTTCCTTTTGCTGCGTGCACACTCGAATGCTCCCTGTCAACGATGGGCAACGCAGTGCACCCGCGCCGAAAAAAAAAGGTCCTCTTGCGTCGTTTCCAATTGAAGGTGCTCCACAACTGCCAGGCCGACCGATGTATGTGCTCCACACGAATCACGCCGACAGGCAACTCAACCGGAAAGAACGAACGAACGAACCACCTCTGCGGACAGTCGTCCACGCCTAATCGGAGCCTGGTGGAGGAGTCCACGGCCACTTGGAAGATTCAGATATGCACTGCGACTGCGAGACAAACAAAAACAATGCACTGAAGAGAGATGGAGAGGGAGGAAGTCCTGGTTGTGAAGTCCCGGAGGTGGATGGGATGCGGCTGTCGACGAAGGTGATTTCACGTGTCGCCTTTGGTGTACTGGTGCTCCAGTGACGACCATGTGTCTGTGTCCTGTGCCAGAACGCAAGCTGAAGGATAAAACTGCCTGCGCCAGCAAACTTGAAGTGTACAAAGCACGTGCACGCCTTGCACGCACCGAAGATGTGGATGAGCCGCTGCTCCACAGCATGGCCGAATCATGGCGGCATTGGCGAGTGCCGGAAAAGAGGCCCAGGAACTTCGGGCTCATCTATACAAACATTTGATTCGACCCCGGCCCCCCGCTGCCAAGCCACACAACACCGCCACTGTACCCTCCATGCGGCGGCCTGTCTGGTATGGGCGTGGCGGCGGGCCAGCCAGGGCAGCGCGTAGCAGCCTTGCGAGAGAAGCCGGCAAGCGACAAGTCGTGCTTTTGTACATGGCGTGCGCAAATTCCGTTGTCAGTATGTAGAAGCAGTGTCAGAATCATCCCACGCAGGTTATGGAAACGAGGAGCTTCTGCCCACGCAGACCTGTTCCACGTCAACAAGGTCCGAACCTGGAACTGCCGCTCATTTTTTAAGAGAACGCCCAGTACGGGCGATGCGTGCCGCGTGAGGGACCGCCCCGCCCCAACAGCAGAAAGCTACCCGGGATGCCCAGCGCTCGGGCGATCCTGGCTCAGAAACTGGCCGCCAGGGCTGTGCGCCCAGCACGCCAGTCGGGCCTTGCCCAGACTCCCAGCTCGCGATGCCCGGCGGATACCTACTGGGATGGCCGTGGGGGGTTCTGAATGGATGGGGGGGGGGTTGCAAGTGGATGCCAAGATGGGTTATATCTGGCCCACCCTGGCTTCTAAGTGGGTTACACAAGCCCCAAGTAGCTTAGGGGGGTTAACGATCCGGGCTAAGTGGGCTCCACCCACTTAGCGGAGTTATCTAAATCCCCTAAGCCACTCGGGGAACTTGTAGCCCACTTATAAGCCAGGTTTGGCCAGATATAACCCACCTTAGCATCCACTTGTAACCTCCCTGTCCACTTAGAAACCCACACGGTCATCCCAGTAAGAGAAAGCAAAAGGTACTGGTACTGCTACTGCCGGGACCTCTCCCGGAATGCGTTCTGACCAGAATTTCGAGGCGAATCCAGCGGTGGCGACGAGGGCCTCCCAGGAGGCCCAAAAATGGGAGATCGAGACAAGGGTAGCGGTATGAGTACTTTTTCCTCCTCTGAGGACTCCCAGCTCGCGATGCCCGGCGGGCACCTGGCAAGAAAACGGCCACCTAGATGCACTCCGCCACCGCTGGCGCGCACTGGCGGACCTCCTGCTGGTTCCGGGGCCAAGGCGGTTCTCCGCGCCCCCTCTGGCTGGCCTGCTCCTGGGCCGGAGTGCTGCTCGGCACGAGGGAGGTCAGTGCCGACGTCGACGAGCACATGTCGTGCACGTAGGCCTTGACAGGCGCGTGGCAGTCACTCCCCAGAGCCTGAGCGTTCGCGGCCTCGGCGGTCGCCTTGCAGGGGCCCAGCCCGGGCTGCCCCCAGTGCGGCCACTGAGGCTTCCTCAGCATCAAGCGGACGGAGAGGTGCGAGAGCAGACAGCACGGCACAGGGTGCGCGTGAGGGCAAGGCATCCTGAAGCAAAGCTAGCTGATTGAGCCAAAACAGCTGCGCGCGGGGGGATCCGCCCTCGACGTCGGCACGGAGCTCGAACAAAGAGCGAGGGCGGGGAACGCGGGCGCTTCTGGCCACTTCTTGGGCCCGAATTAAGGCCGACACCGCATTACGCGGTCCCCCGACCATCCGTCCGCAGCATCCCGAAGGCGCTGCAGAGCGGCCGGAAGCTCTGCCAGCAGCCAACTGTAGAGGGGGGTGCTGGACAGCAGCTCTTCCTCCAGGTGGCAATGACTAGTAACGTGGAGGCGACAACGCCTGCAGGTTACCCCAGACAATGTCTGGAGTTACCCAGACAGAGTCTGGGGGCAATTACCTTCGCATCGGATGTCATCCGATGTCTTGATTTTCATCAACAAGGGACCCCTGAAAATTCCGACCATTTCTCAAGGGCAGACGATTCATGCCGAGCCGATTCCTCGCGGTCCCAGGGCCACGCGAGGGCCCCAGAGGCCAGTCTTCCCGGCGAAGCACCCAGACAGATGCAGTTGTGAGTTGTGAGTGCCGCAGTGGTAAATATCCTCTTCGGTGGAGCTCCCTATGGGGTCAAAAATCGTGTGAGGGGTGTGCCGACATGAATGGCGGGGACGCATGTGGTCACAGCCACTGGGGCCTTCGGTGGAGCTCCGTTTGGGGCCACGAAACGTGTGAGGGGGGTGCCGAAAAGGGTGGCGGGAACGCATGTGGTCACAGCCACTGGGGCCGTCAGTGGAGCTCCCTATGGGGGCCACGAAACGTGTGATGGGGGTGCCAACATGGGCGGCGGGAACGCATGTGGTCACAGCCCCTGAGGCTTTCGATGGCGCTCCCTATGGGGCCACGAAACGTGTGAGGGGCGTGCTGACATTGGTGGCGGGGACGCATGTGGTCACAGACCCCGGGGCCTTCGGTGGAGCTGTGGGACCACGAATCGTGTGAGGGGTGTGCCGACATGGGTGGCGGGGACGCATGTGGTCACAGCCACTGGGGCCTTCGGGGGAACCCTATGGGGCCTCGAAACGTGTGATGGGGGTGCCGAAATGGGTGGCGGGGACGCATGCGGTCACAGCCACTGGCGCTCCCTATGGCCTATGGGGCCACGGAACGTGTGAGCAGTGTGCCGATATTGGTGGCGGGGGCGTATGTGGACACTGTCATCGGGGTCTTCAGTGGAGCTCCCTATAGGGCCACGAAGCGTATACCGGGTATGCCAACAAGGGAGGCAGCAGGAGGAGGAGGAGGAGGAGGAGGAGGAGGAGGAGGAGGAGGAGGAGGAGGAGGAGGAGGAGGAACGCGGGGCGCTGTCTCTTCAGAACGAGGACCCAAGACCACCGGATGGTTGGGACAAAAGACGCCAGCACAGTCCGTCATGTTTTCTGCTCTCGATTCGGCCATGTCTGGGACCCGGATGCAGGAGAGTGGCCCTGACGGGGCCCAAAGCGCTGGAGCGGCCACGAGTTGTTCCAGGCTTCCCGGGATACCTCTGGATGTACCTCGACGCATCTGGATTTGCCCTGGCTTAGCCGGCCTGGTCCCCACAGGCCGACTTGTGAGGAAAAAAAATTGCCCAGCCCTCGGGGAGAGCGGGCACCTCATTGGACCGCCGACGCGGCCCCCGAAGAGGGGCTGGAGAGACCCCCCCGACATAGGAGGAGAAGGAGGAGGAGGAGGAGGAGAAGAAGGAGGAGGAGGAGTACCAGGAGGAGGAGAAGGGAGGAGGAGGAGGAGGAGGAGAAGGAGGAGAAGGAGAAGGGAGGAGGAGGAGGAAGATGAGGAAAAGGGAGGAGGAGGTGAAGGGAGGAGGAGGAGGAGGAGGAGGAGGAGGAGGAGGAGGAGGAGGAGGAGGCCCCCCCCCGACGCAGCATCTTCGTCCAAGGCGGCGAGCCGCCAGCGGCCTCTTCGAGCGCGCGCGGCCGCCCGCGCTGGCAGGAGCGGTCCTCACGACTCCTGGGAGGGCAACGAACTCTATATACACCGACGCGTGTTCCAGGCCTGCTCTGAAACTTGCAAAGGGTAAAGCGGATCCTGGTGTATAGGGAACCTGGTGTATACATCTTTCGTTGTTTCCCCAAGAAAAGCGGAAAACAAGTATACACCACACCACACAGGCGTCGTCCTCGGCCCTAAAAAAATCCTGGAATTGAGAAACAGCCCGCCACTGGTAATGTATAGGTTCCAATATCCGACCTGGGAGGAGACGGCTTGTCCACTCCACGCACAGTAGGGGCTCGACCACACAACAAACCTTCCACAAGAAACCCAACCCTGAGACCCCAGGGCGTCCATTGGCTCTTGGTGTGGGGACGTCACGCTTCTCCCTGGCAGAACCATGGAAACCCCCAAGAAACCAAGGGCACCCTGGAGGCAAGCAGGGTGCTTCTTGGCACGGGTCTCGCAGCCGTCCAGGGGCGACACGCGTCGTCTTCAGCCAATGTCCCGAAGCTTGAGGCGTAGGGGCGCTTGTACTGAGAGCCGCGAGCCGGCAGCCATGGCACCACGAGGACCTGGCCAGGCGGGGCCCAGCTTCCTGGGTGGCTTCGCCGGGGGGCGCTGAGGGCCATGGGGGAGGCGCCGCGTGGACGCTGCGGTGGGCTGCTGCCTCATCCCGGGTCGAGGGTTCACAGCCCCCCCCACCCTTTCAGATGGGCCCCCCCCCTTTCCGATGGGATGGGTCCCAGAGTTCCACCAGCCCCCCCCCCTCACCACCCAGATGAGATGGGGGTGCGGGCGGGGGGCGGGCGGCGGCGGCGGCGGCGGCGGCGGCGGCGGCGGCGGCGGCGACGACGACGACGACGACGACGACGACGACGACGACGACGACGACGACGACGCTGACGCTGACGCAGACGCCGACGCAGACGCCGAGAGTGACGACGACGCCGACGCCGAGGCCGACGGAAGACGGATGACGGAAGATGACGACGACGACGACGACGGAAGACGACGACGACGCCGCCGCAGACGCCGACGCCGCCGCCGACGCCAACGCCGATGCTGGCGCTGACGCCAACGGAAGACGACGACGACGACGACGACGACGACGACGACGACGACGACGACGACGACGCCCACGCGGACGCCGACGGAACACGACGACGACGACGAAGCCGACGCCGACGAATCACCCCACACCCACAGGGGGAGGGGGGGCACCGGCATCCACCACCACCACGCCACGCCCGCAGGGCCACGACCACAGGGGGGGGGTAGCGATCTTATTCGCGAGGCCCTCGCGAGACCCGTCGCCCATCCAGCGGGGGGGGGGGGAAGGGGCCATCCCATGTGCAGTGGGGGAGGGGGCAACCCTGGATCGGTGTTGTAAAAGCCCCAATCGGCTCAGGGATTTCGACAACTCCGCTAAGTAAGCGGAGCCCACTTAGCCCGGATCGTTAGACTCCCTAAGAGATTTGAGGCGTGTTCAACCCGCCTATAAGCCAGGTTGGGCCAGACATCACAATCCTGGCATCCGTGAATAATCCCCCTGACCACTTAGCAACCCCCGCGGCGATCCCTGTTGGGCCCATCTTGGGAACGATGCAGGGCCCATCTTGGGCCTTCAAGACGACTGCAACCTGAGGTAGATCTGGATGAGGATGAATCGGGAATCTCTGAGAGCCAGCGGGTCTTGGAGACGTGTCGTTCACCAGATCGAAACAGACCCTGACGGGTAACCGAGGTCACCCCGTAGTTCGAAGCGTCATCGGACCTTCGGGAACGCCGCCGACGCAGCCGCTTCCGCCTCCTCCTCCTCCTCCTCCTCCTCCTCCTCCTCCTCCTTCTCATCATCATCATCATCATCATCATCATCATCATCATCATCATCATCATCATCATCAGCAGCAGCAGCAGCAGCAGCAGCAGCAGCAGCATCATCATCATCATCATCATCACCATCATCCTCTCCTCCTCCTCCTCCTCATCCTCACTCCTCCTCTCCTCCTCATCATCATCATCATCATCATCATCATCTCATCATCATCATCATCATCATCTTCATCAGCAGCAGCAGCAGCATCATATCATCCTCCTCTTCCTCCTCCTCCTCCTCTCATCTCATCATCATCATCATCATCATCATCATCATCATCATCATCATCATCATCATCATCATCATCATCATCATCATCATCATCATCATCATCATCATCATCATCATCATCATCATCCTTTCCCTCTTCCTCCTCCTCCTCCTGCTCGCCCTCCTCCTCCTCCTCCTCCTCCTCTTCCTCCTCCTCTTCCTCCTCCTCCTCCTCCGCCTCCTGCTTCCCTATCATCACCCTGCCCCCCACACATCCGACGTCGTGAGTGTTGTCACGTCGTGGCTCCCCAGGGGTCTGGACTTCCTGGGGACCAGTTCTTCATCCTACGCCTTTTCTGGGCGGCCCCAGGGCCCGGCGAGGGCTCCAGGAGGCCGAAGACGGCCAGTAACCTCCCGTCGTGATGGAATCACGACGCGAGGAGGCTTGGGTTTGGGGGTCATGGCTCGGGTCCCCCACGGCACCCCGAACGCCCTCGGCACGGCACACATGTGGGAAAGCGCCTCAACACCTCTGGGAACCGACGAGCACGTGCATAAACCGTCGGACCTCGAGCTTCGGACTTCGAACCTCGAGCTTGGGAGCCCTGAGCATGTCTGGATCGAGGTCGTCTGGCTCCTCCTCCTCCTCCTCCTCCTCCTCCTCCTCCCTCCTCCTCCTCCTCCTCCTCCTGTTCCATCCTCCTCTCCTCTCTCCTCCTCCTCCTCCTCCGCCTCCTCCTCCTCCCTCCTCCCTCCCTCCTCCTCCTCCTCCCTCTCCCCTCCTCACCACCCCATCCACCACCCCACCACCACCCCCCACAACCCTCCTCCTCCTCCTCCTCCTCCTCCTCCTCCTCCTCCTCCTCCTCCTCCTCCTCCTCCTCCTCCAGTCCTGGCCCATGGCGCAGGGTAGGACCGTCTTCCGCGATGTGACGGCCCGCAGCGAGAAGGCCCGCAGGGGCAGGCTGCGCTCGCGGGTCGCGAGCCCGAAGCCGTGCTCGAGGATGCCCTGCTTTGCGAACAGGTCGTTCTCTCGGAGAGCCTGCTGGGATCGCCACGGGGGTTGCTAAGTGGATAATGAGACGGGGGAGCGGATGCCAGGGTAGTGATTCCTGGCCCAACCTGGTTATTCAGTGGGTGGCAAAGACCCCAAGTGGCTCAGGGAGGTTAACGATGCGGGCCATGCTGGTCCCGCAAAATTGGCGGTCTAAACCCACAACGGGGGGCGCTTGTCGCCAACTTCTAGGCCAGGCTGGGCCAGACACAACCCACCTCAGCATCCCCCGCTGTGCTTCTTTTCCCGGTGGCCCTGGGATTGCGCGGTCCGCCGCGAAGGCGGACGCCGACGCGCTCAGAGAGCGGGCGGGCCATGCCGGAACTGGGGCACGCACGGCGGGGAGGGAGAAGATGAAGGGGCCCTGGGACACACAAATCAATACACACAAATAAAACTATCCCCATATTTGTCCATATCTTCTGGGTTTTTGTCTTCCCCCCCAGTTCCCATATATCCCACGATTTGCTGAGGAGTCGACGATTCATTGTGTCTGTGTGCTTCTTTCCCTCCTGAGAAGAGGAGGGCGGCCGCGGACCGAGACCCCCGGCGGCAGGCCTCGTCGCTGCACCGACCTCTGCAGACGTGCTGCGGCAAATTCCTGCGCGGAGTTCCGTCAGTGCAAAAGCCCGGGGCGGCGGGCGACTCCTCCCTCCTCCTCCCCCTCCCTCCCTCCCCCTCCCTCCTCCTCCTCCCCCTCCCTCCTCCTCCCTCACTCCCCCTCCCTCCTCCCCTCCTCCCTCTCCTCCTCCCTCCTCTCCTCCTCCTCCCTCCCTCCTCTTCCCTCCTCCTCCTCCCTCCTCCTCCTCCTCCCTCCTCCTCCTCCCTCCTCCTCCTCCCTCCCTCCTCCTCCTCCCTCCTCCTCCTTCCTCCTCCTCCTCCCTCCCGAGGCGGCGAGCGAACAAAGAAGTGGGTTTCACGTGGATTTGTTATTGCTTCATTCGTGGCCAAACAAAATCCGCACGACATCTACTTCGCAATCCGGGCAGGAATTCTCCAGGACACCCTGGGCCCATCCTGATGTTTTCCGGACGAAATCCGCTCTGCGACGTTGGCGCCATGAGATTTGTTCATGACGTCCACCCCCAGCAGTCTCGACCCTTTCCCCGTGCACCAGGACCGGCTCTTCATTCTGAGTCGGTGCTTGACGGCCCCGAGGCCCAGCAAGGGCCCCCCAGAGGCTGGAAGCGGCGGACTGGCTCCCGTCGTAAACTGCTTGCTCATGGCCCGAAGGGGTCTGGGGAGGAGGAACGCGAAAGGAGGCCTCCGGCGTGGAGGATCTTCGCCCTGGGGAGTGCGCAGACGGCCTGGGGTACCAGAAGCGGGTGCGCTCGAAGGCGCGCGACCCATCCGAGCTGCCAAGCTGCCGACGGCGGACGACCTGTCCGAGCTGCCGCCCCAACAGAGCGGCAAGCCGCCGTCCACTGGTCAGCAGGTCGCATGACTGCGCTGGCCTGGCTCCCAGACACGCCCAGGGCCCCGCAAAACTCGAAGCTCGAAGTCCGAAGCTCGAGGTCCCACGACGTGCGCGTCGGCCCCCGGAGGTGTTCCACGGTCTTTGGACGTGCTCGACGCTCGAAGCTCGAAGCTCGAAGTCCGAAGCTCGAAGCTCGCAGTCCGAAGCTCGAAGTCCACGGTCCCCAAAACTCGAAGCTCGAAGTCGGAAGCTCGAAGTCCGAGGCTCGAGGTCCCACGGTCTCTGGACGTGCGCGTCGGTGCCCGGAGGTGCTCCAGGCTCGGGGTGCGTTCCTGCAGCCGCGCCGCGGCCGAGGGCGTCCCCGGGGGCGCCCGGCTCGTCCCGAACGGCCGTCGGAGGCCCGAGAGCCGTGCCCGAGAAGCCAGGCCTCCTCGCGCCGTGATGAAACATCACGATGGGTGCGGGCCCCCGTGGGCCAGAAAACGCAGACCCCCGACGGCATGAGCGCGTCTTTTTCTGAGTATGAACAAACTAGCTTGCACTGGATGTTGCTGCCCCCCCCCCCTCCTCCTCCGCCTGCTGAGCCAATGCTGGGCCGAACCGGCGTGCAAGTGAGTCTCGCCTTGCAGGAAGTCCAGAGCTCTCGCAGGGCCCCGCCAGGCCCCCCTCACCCCCCGTCATGCAGGTAAACGACTCGGGTTGAGAAACTGGTCCCAAGGACGTGGTTAAGAAGTCAGAGGCCCGTGTCTCAAAAAATCGAGACGCTGGATGTCTGGGAGCGTCGACTTCCGGCAGGTCTCGATCCACTACCCAGAAGCGGCTTCTCATCCTGAGTCGCTTTGTCACCAGCACGGGGGCCAGCGAGGGCCCATCGGAGGCGGAAAATTGACAATAACATGTCCGTCGTGACTTTGCTCACGGCGCGAGCATGTATTGGGCAATACTGGGATCGCCGCGGTGAGGGGGGCAAGTGAATAGAGAGTTACAACATATGGTCCAACGTGGCTTATAAGTGGGCTACAAGTGCCCTAAATGGCGTAGGTGGGTGCATACTTCTGCTAAGTGGCCGAGGCCGAAACCCACTTGGCTAGGATGTTTACACCCCCCTTGGGCACTTCGGGCACCTGTAACCCACTACTAAGCAAAGGTCGGCCAAAGATAACCACCTTGACATCCCAATAACGACAACAAAACAACAACATCGACAACAACAAGAACAACTACGACTACGACGACGACGACGACGACTA